CTAAGATGCTCCTAGGATATCAAAGTACCTGTCATAATTTTTCTCCCAAGTAGCCAACATCTCTTTATTTCATGGTAATAATTACTAACTTTGTGAAGTTTGGAAACAGGATGATAAAATCTGTTTTTGCTACAGTTTCTTTTCCATTTACCTGCATTGGGTTGGCATTGTCTATTGACATAATCTTAGTTTTATTTGTTGTTGTTGTTTTTTTAAAAAAAAACATTAAACAGCAGTGTAAGTTTTGCATTCTCTAGGTTAACCTTCAGTTAACAGTTTTCTTAGGTCCTTCTTATTTCTTGATTTCTCATTAACTACCCTGACATCAAATGGGAGACAAACACTGCACCTAGTGGAAGATCAGATTCCTCACAAACCTAGCAGACAAATTTGTCTCTCAAAAGGTTGAGAAGGGAACCAGAGGGTCAACCAAACTGGACTTAATTCTCACTTTGAAGTAATTTTCGCACTGAAGTAGCAGGGACTTTGGGGAGGGAGTGACCATACAATACTGCAATTCAACATTATGCAAGCACAAGCAATAGAGCAAAGTCAGACTAGAGTTTTGGACTTCAAGAGAGCTGATTTCAATAAACTTAGAGTTTGAGAAGGAATCCTCAGGGGAAAAACAACCCAAGAAGCTTGAGAAGCTTTGAAAAGTGAGATTATAAAAGCCCAGTCTAGCACAATTCCAATGAAGAGGAAAAATAAGAGAAGAACTCTCTGATAAACTGCAAGACAAAAAGGACAAGTATAAAAAGAGGGGCACAGAATATCAGCAAATAGCCTGAACTTGCAAAGATAAAGTCAGGAAAGCTAAAACTCAAAATGAGCTAAGACCTGCAACAAAAGTCAAAAATAACAAAAAAAAAAACCTCCTTTCAACATGTACAAAACAAGAAAAAAGTCAAGGAAAGGATTGGTCTATTAATGGGAGAAAATCACTATAAGGTGATGAGCAGCAGGGAGAAAGCAGAACTGATTTTTTTGCATCTGCCTTTATACAAAAGGGGGGAAAAACATCCCAATCAATAAAAAAAAATATTGTAAAATGCAGGTTAGGAATGCAAGCCAAAATAAGCAAGAAAATGATAAGATACTTATCCATGCTAGATGAGTTCAAATCACCAGGACCAGATGGATTACACCCCAAGGTAGATGTGAACTCCACTGAACCATATTTTTCAAAGATCCTGGATCATCAGGGAACTACCAGAGGACTGCAAAAAGGTTGGTGTAGACCCCATCTTCAAAAAAAAAAAAAAGGAAAAAATGGATCCAGGAAACTACAGACCTATCAGCCTGACATTAATACCTGGAAAGATTCTGGAAAAGATAATCAAGCAATGAATCTGTGAACACCTAAAAGCAAACAAAGTCATAATCAGAAGCCAACATGGGTTTGTCAAAAACAGATCATGCCAGATAAATCTTACTGCATTATTTGACAAAGTGGACCAGTGAAATGTTGTGGATATAATTTACTTGGACTTCAATAAAATATTTGATAAAGTAGATCATAACCTACTACTTGAAAAAATAGAAAAATGTGGGTTAGACAGCATCTCTACCAGATGGATTTGTAATGGCTGACCAACTGCACTCAACATGTAGTTCTTAAAGCAGGGGTGTCAAACTGCCGGCCCACAGGCCAGATGCGTCATCCGGAAGCCACGCCCACCCATTGCCAGCAATGGCAAAACCATCCTGATATGTTGCACAATGTCACATGACGTCGCGAGTTTGAAATGTCTGCCTTAAAGGAACTGCATCTACATGGAGGGAAGTATGTAGTGAGGTAGCCTAAGACTCTGTCTTAGGCCCAGTACTCTTTAATATCTTCATCAATTATTTAGATGAGGGGATACAAGGGAAACTCAAATTTGCAGATGATACAAATTCCTGCAGTTGTCAGGAATAGTCAATACTCCAGAAGATAGGCTCAAAACACAGAAAGATCTTGACAGATTTGAACACTGGGCCAATGGTGAGAAAAGTAAAGTTTTACATTTTGGCAAGAAAAACCAAATGCATAGGTATATAGAATAGATGGTACTTGGCTCAATAATAATAACTGTGAAATAACACCTCAGGGCAGGACAAGAAGCTATGGAGGGAAACTAATCAAGGAGAGAACTAGAAATAAGGAGAAATTTCCTACAGTGAGAACAATTAATCAGAGGAATTACTTGCCTCCAGAAGTTCTGACTGCTCCGACACGGAAGGTTTTTAGGAAGAGATTTGCCAACCATTTGTCTGAAATGATATGGGGTTTCCTGCTTGAGCAGGGGGGTGGACTAGAAGACCTCCAAGGTCCCTTCCAACTCTGTTATTCTGTTATTTCCAGCCACCAAAGTGGTTTCAATGGCTCAAAACTATTTCAAGAAGCAGCATGGCCCTCTCACTTTTCCTTAATATAATATTGCTTGGCAGGGCTTTATTTTGCTTCATAGCCCCTCCTCTGTATAGCTTCTCCAGCAACAATTGCTCCTAAAGAAACATGCTCAATTTTCCCTGATACTAATCTCCTAAAACTTGGGGAAGTGCTATAGGAAGATCTGCTACTCATGTACTTGGGAAGCCCTTACAAAAGCCAGAAGTTTCTATTTAGATGAGATTTGCAGAGCAAGTGACAGGCAGAAAAGGGGGAAACTTCATCAAAGCAGATCATGTGTAGCTTCTTTATTTCATGAAAACGAATAATCTCATCTCCATGGCACAATTTCCTTTGTCAATTTGAATGTAAATCAAACAGGCCTTACAGGGTAGTTACCTAAACAACATTGCTAAGTCTTATCTGTTAAGAAAATCTATCTTAGGTCCAGCACTCTTCAATATCTTCATCAATGACTTAGATGAGGGAATAAAAGGGGAACTCATCAAATTTGCAGATGACACTAAGCTGGCAGGAGTAGCCAACTCCCCAGAAGACAAGTTCAGAATCCAAAAAGATCTCGACAGACTTGAAAAAATGGACTCTACCTAACAAAATGAAATTTAATGTGAAGACAAGCAATGTTTTGCAACTGGCCAGGAAAAACAAAAATTACAAGTATAGATTAGGTGAAACCTGGCTCAAATACAGTAACTGTGAGAGGAACCTTGGAGTCCTAGTGGACAATCACTTAAATATGAGCTAGCATTGTGTGGCAGCAGCCAAAAAAGCTAATATAATCCTTGGTTGTATAAACAGAGGATTAGAATCAAAATTACGTGAAGTATCAATACCTCTTTATAAAGCCTTAGTAAGGCCACAGCTGGAACACTAGACCCAGTTTTGCTGACCACATTACAAAAAAGATGTTGAGACTTTGAAAAAAGTACAAAGACGAACAACTAAGATGATTAAATGGCTGGAGACTAAAACATTTGAAGAACAGTTGCAGGATTTGGGTTTGGCTAGTCTAGAGAAAAGAAGGACTAGAGGTGACATGATAGCAGTATTCCAGTATTTGAGAGGCTGCCACAAAGAGGAGGGGGTCAATTTATTTTCCAAAGCATCTGAAGGCAGGACAAGAAACAATGGATGGAAACTAATCAAGGAAAGAAGCAATCTGGAATTAAGGAGAAACTTCCTAAGAGTGAGAACAATTAACCACTGGAATAGCTTGCCTTCAGAAGTTGTGGGTGCTCAACACTGGATGTTTTTAAGAAGAGACTCAACAATCACCTGTCTGAAATGGTATAGGGTCTCCTGTTTGAGCATGTGGCTGGACTAGAAGACCTCTAAGATCCCTTCCAGCTCTATTCTGATTCTGATCCTAGCTATAAGGTGGTCTTTCTGAGATATTGTTTTTCACCTTCCATGGCTAATCTGAAATGATGCCTTGCTCTTTGGGTCCCATAAAGACATTAACTGATTTCTATAGCTGCCCATTTCAACAATTAATTAATTAATTGACAACGAACTAATTGTCTCCTTTGTTCTTTTAACAGGGAAGAGAATGTGTCCAGGAGAGGGATTGGCTGATATGGAAATGTTCCTGTTCTTTGTCATTCTGCTCCAGCATTTCACTTTTGAACTGATTACAAACCCTAAAGAGATAAACTTGGTGACTTTGTTCATGGACCTTAAGAAGAATGGGCAGCATCGCTACTTACGGGCCATTAAACGTGAAATCTAACTTAGCAATAGAAAGAAATGATTGTCTCAAGACATATTCTTTCACCACCCCTTAAATTTCTAATGCTAAGTTCAAGGTTCTAAAAGTTTCAAAAATCCATGAGTTCTGAAAAGTAAAAACATTTGAAATGTATATCATAAGAGACTGTTCTACTATGACTATCAATATCACTATCATTAATACTGCTATTACTGATGTTTGAATTTTGATTTTATCCAGAAAGTCTGATTAAAAAATGCAGGACATCAATCCCAAATTTAGACTGGATGGATGCAGGCCAAATAATCATCTTTGGAGGCAAAATCATTGGTGGAAGAAAAAGAATCACTTGTTGTTCAGCACACCACTTTGGGGGAGGAGTGCTATTTTCTATTAATGCCTCGATGTGCTTTGTTTAATGGAATTTACATAGTATGCTACCTATAGAAGTTTCCAATCAACACATTTTAGGAGAATTATGATAGCAACGGGTCTCCTAGGAATTTTAAAAAAAAAGTATTGTAGGCTATGATGCTTATAGTACAATCCTATATTTGCAAATCTGGGAAAACATACTGTCAACTCTACAACGAACGTGGCTGCAGCCATTTTCTTTTTGTTTCTAGATTGCCACAAAAAGTGGGAGGGGGAAGATGGTATTTCTGGTAGTCTAAAAATGAGCAACTCTTGTGGGAACCAAGGTCATTCCTATGCCGGAGGGAAGGAGGAGGATCATTGAGTCAGAAAGCCCACCAAGATGTTCTATTGGGTAGCATGAATAGAGGGGTGTGAATTGTTACATTGTATTACTTTGATTCTTGGAGGGAAAGTTTAGATCTGGTTTCACTTTTGATATTATGTATCCAATAAACATATTCTTTGAGGAATTTTCCTGCCTCTGAGTTCTGATTTATTTGGTCTTATTGATCAGAACCTCGACACATACGCTGAATGCAAACGGTGCTATTCTAAAGTAAATAGGTATAAATATGTTATTGCAGGATAAAGTGATAGACCAATTCAGAAAGCAAGCAATGGAATGGTTTATATATACCTCTAATACAGTGGTTCTCAACCTTTTTAATGCCGCGACCCCAACCGGTCGTAATTCGAGGACTAAACCGGTCGTAAGTCGAGGACTACCCAACCGGTCATAAGTCAAGGACTTTCCCTGCCCGGGAGCGCTGCGCATGCGTGGTTCCACCCCCTGCGCCGGCCGAGGCATAGCTGGCAAGCGGCAGAGACGAAGCAGACCGACCACCAGCTGGCCCAGCCCAAGGGAGGTAAGGCACCCGCTGGAAAAGGGGAAAAAAAATGGCAGACAAAAAAAATGGCGGACAGCCTTGCTTGGCGACCCCCATGAAATGGTCGATCGACCCCAAATGGGGTCCCGACCCACAGGTTGAGAACCACTGCTCTAATAATTATTTATGTGCTTAATTTTTAGAACACAACACTTTCACCAGTGTCTTGGTGGTGCAAAGCATAAAACATAATAAAAAAAATAAAACTAATATGCCATCAAATATTTTTTTTCATTCCTAGTGACTACTCTTAGATAGATTTTCTCTATTATGATCTATCCCCAACCTATCCTTTCAAGTCTCCCAACAATGAACTCAACCACCTAGTTGTTCGTTCTCTTCTCTTATATCTTTCTCAGCATTAAATAGTTTTAATGTAGTATTATGGTGAATTATAAGAATTATTGTCAACCGTCCCACTGGTTGAGATAGGAAAGAAGACTCCTGGGACATCTTTTACCAAGAGTATAACTTTACTGAAAATTCCATGTGGGCACAAAAATGCAAAAGCCAGTTCTAACATTTTCACATGCAAACAGCATAGGAAAACTTTCCCCCCTTCCCCCCGGTTCTCTCACTGTCCATTAACTGCCCAATTAGTTACACTCGCATTTCGGTCTCTCCACCTCAGACTTTTCCAGCCAATGACGTTGGAGAAGCTGTATCTGTCTCAGGCTTCAAGTTGACAGACTTGCATTCCTTTCCCCTCCCGTATACCTCTCTTGCATTCCAATGCCTTCCCACCCACCTCGTTTTGCTGATGACTGATTGCAAGCAGGGTTTGCATAGCAAGTGGACCATGACATGCCAACCCTCCAGAAAGAAGATTAATCCTGTAATAAAACAAACACACAAACATTATTACACCGCAGTGTTCTGGTACTGCTTGGCCTATCATGGTCAGTCTGGGTACCTGGCATGGAATCTATGGATAAGTCTAGGGGCACGAACATTTGCTGCTGTTACCCACTCTGCCTCCTCCAGGGGAAACCCCTTCCACAAAACTAAATACTGTAAGTTCCCCTTGTGGATTTGGGAGTCCATCAGACTTTCTAACTTCTCGCGAGATCTCAAGAAGTTAGAAAGTCTGATGGAACTTTTGTTTTTACCGATAGTCCCACAAACACGCGGCGAAGGCTGAGAAGCGAATGGAGAAACGGAATGCAGCTGAAAGGCAGGTTAGTAAAAAAAACCACTTGGGGGAGGCGAGGGCATCTGGGCGGGGGTGGGCGTGGCAACCTTACCTTGCATGGTGGTGGGAGGTGGGGTGCGTGCCCTTACCAAGCCAGGCCAGCCCCTGCAGCCCCGGGGGAAGCCGTGCTGGATGGCAGTGGGCAGGGTGTTGAAGTGGGGGCTGGCAGGCCAACCAAAGCAGCAGGTGGAGCGCCAGAAGCTCAGGGAGGGAGGGCACTGAAGTGGGCGGTCGGGCCATTGGCAAGAGTAATGCATCTGAGCGGAAAGCGGCCTCAGAACAAGTGGGCAGGTAAAGAAAGAAATCCTCACTCCCCCCAGTAATTGCCTTTCTTTCCTTACCTGGCTTCCAGCCCCGTGCCATTTCTCCTTCACAATCCACCGCCGCCGCCATGTACAAGGAAACAGAAAGTTTGTTTGGGGGAAAAAAGGTCAATCAATCAATTCCAACCTCATGAAAGATTGCGAGAATTGATTGATTGACATTCTTTTCCCCCAAAAAAGTTCCTTTGTTTCCTTGCACGCAATGGCGGTGGATTGCGAAGGAGAAACGGCATGAAGCTGGAAGTCAGGTAAGAAAGGAAGGAGATGCTTTTTTTATTCCAGCGAAAGTCAGGCACTCTGCACATGCCCAGAGACGCTGGCTTCAAGCAAAAAAAAAAGTACCACCCCCAAAACACCATTCCAAGGCATTGCCAATGAGTAGCATGCGTGTGTCCAGGAGTGGGGCAGGTCACCTGCAGCCCCAGGACTGCTCCTCCTCCTCCGATCATGCATCACCCCCCCTCCACACCTTCAGCGAGTGGCATGGAAAGGGTTAATGGTGGGCGCAGGAGAGCTGGGAGGAGCTGCACAAAGAAGATGGAGGGAAGGCCAAGCAGATTGCGGGTGCTGCTCCTCGCCTCCTCTGTGCTTCCACCATCACCGCTACTGCTTTGGCCAAAGTGACCCAGCCGCAGTCCTGCCTGGCTCTGCCACTGCCATGACACTGCCCCACTCCAGCCCCAGGCAGCGCCTCTGCCCTGCGTGACTGCCCCACTCACGTCTGCTCTGAGCCTGCGATCAGCCTCCACACCGCCACCACCACAGCTGCAGGATGGTGCAGAAGTCACGCAACAGGGGCATGTATCTGGGCAGCTCGGCTCCCCCGAGTCCACCCACGACAGGGCCCTGCTGATCGCCGGCTCCGAGGGCGGTGGCGGTGGCAAACCTGGCTCGATCCTCAGCAAGCCTTGCTCGGCCATCAGCAGGAAGCTGCCCAAGAGGAATGCCTTCTACCACAAGCTTCAGAATTTCCTCTACAATGTGCTGGAAAGCCACAGCTGGGTGTTCATCTACCACACTTACGTGTGAGTAAAGGCAGCCTTGGCTGGTGGACAGGTGAATGGGTGAGCAGGGAAGCTACGGCACCTGGCCCCAGCCCAGGCCAGCCCAGCCCAGCTATCCGCAGCCTCCCAGCCACGTCATGCTGAAACCGGCCGTTTGCTGCCTCCTGCCCAATGCTGCGGCCATGAGGCCATGGAACAAGCTGGGCAGCAGTAAGAAACCAGTATACCAGTTCCTTACCTCCACCCATCTTGTTCCACGGCCTCATGGCAGCGGCATTGGGTGCGACTTGCGAGGTGGCAAATGGCCATGGCCATGGGCTGGCAGACTGTGGCTGCTGATGGACACAGTTGGCCCCCATGCACTCGCTGTGTGCAGTGGCTGATTGTGTCAGGCAGCAGCTGCCCTGGCCCCTGCCTACCTTTGCCTTGCCCTGCGGCAATGACACCCCTGCCCTGTCCCCTATCTCGACTTGCCTCACCCTGCAGGACGAGCCTCCTGCCCACCGTCCCACCTACCAGAGACCCCATGGATCTCCCCCAACCCTGCCGGGCCCCGACAGGTGTCCCTCCCCATGAACAACATTGAGGTGGCCATGCACACCTCGGCCATACCCACCCAGTCTGCCGTGACCATCGCAGCCACACCCACCCATTGGGCCATGCCCACCCAAAGGGCCATGCCCACCCAGCACTTGGCAATACATATGGGGGTTTTGAGTTGCAGTTTGGGCACTCGGTATCTAAAAGGTTCGCCATCACTGCTCTAGAAGGATAACTGGATCTGGAAACTACATCTAAAATCAAAGTGAAAATAATCTGTGCACTCACCATAGCCCTTGCTTGTTTCAGTAAGGAGAACTATAGGTGGTCGTCCACTAAATTCTTCATTATAAGTTACCAAGGCATCTCTCACTGCTTTATATCTGCAAATCGCAACCATCGGCTTTGGTCCTAGCCAGATAGTGAAAACTGAACCATACTTCTTAGTGAACTGAGAACAAAATCCATCAAAGGCATGAATCAGTAGGAACCAAGATCTTATTCTTGGATTCAATGTCCCACAAAATCTTTTAATAACTTTTAAAAAAGTATGAATGTAAAAATTAAACAGACTTCTTCCCAATCTAACATAAATGATTTGAAAGTACTATGTTAAATTTTAGGGCTACAAGTATCCTAATTTTTTTAGATCAACTTT